GTTATCCTCTGAAGTAGCTGCACCCCTGCAGCTGCAGGAAAAAGCCAAGTCCTCTGTGTCCAGGGCCAGGGCTGTTTATTTGCACTTGAAATCCCATCCATTTGCTGGTCCACCCCACCCTGGGCACCACAGTGTGCTGGTAGGGATGCAGCTGCTGCCAGCAGCCTGTGACAGCCCTGTGTCCCCCAGCCTGCTGACCCAATACCAATGGGCACAGCTGGGCATCCTTCAAGCCCCATCCCAGACAAAACCTTGAGGAAATACTTTTCCCTGCCCCTCTATTGCCCTCCTCCCTACTCACTAGTGAGATGTTTTCCCATCTGTGCCAGTTAACAGGCTGAAATGCAGCAGCTTGATTGTCTAGTAGTGGTGAGGAGTAAAGAAAGCTGCCTCTGACCCAAAAGTTTACAATTAAGAAATAAAAGGAGCAACTAAGAGGAGGATACGGCCCTGGCAGCCAGCAAAGTTGATGAGCATGGGTGGGGAGCGAGGGGAAGCAGTAGGTGGCTGAAGGCATGAGGGTAGCCCAGAGGGGTGAGGCAGGAGAGGCAGGAGATGTGGGAAGCAATGCCTGAAGCAGCATCCCAGTGGATGCAAGCTGTCCCACAGTGAGTTTGTTCAGGTCAAAAAGGGATATTGCAGCAAGTGGAGGGGGATGTGATGAAAGAGAAGGTGAGAGTTTTAGCTTTAGGAAAGGCTTTGCAAGGTTATGCAAGTGTTTGAGGTGTCCAGGATATGAAGACATGGCAGGAGATAGGAGATGAAGACAGGTCTCAGATTCTGGCAGCATCCTGGCATTGCTGAGCTCAGGAATCACTGAGCTAAGAAGGAGAGGTTAAATGCTCTGATTTGGCCATGCTGTGCTTGAGCGGGTGGTGAGACATCCACAGGATGTCAGAGAGCTCCTCTGAGATATGAATTTGGACAGGGAGAGGAGAGCCCAGAGTGGGGATGCATGCCTCTGAGTCATCACCATAGAGATGGTATTTGAGTGTAGCTGAAATGAGATTACCCAGAAACACAGTGCAGAGAAGGGACACAGCTCTGTGAACTCCTGGGGCAAACGAGGTTCCAACAGCAGCCCAGCTGTTGGCCACCAGGGGGGACAACAGGTGGCCAAAACTGGGGCACACTCCAGGCAAGGCTCAGAGCCAACCACAGCCACATCCTGGCCTCACCTGCAGAGCATGACTTGGGCCCTCCTCAGCTGTCCCTCTCTTCTCCGTTGGCTCTGTGTTCTCCACACAGGAAATCCAGGTCCCAAAACCATCGGACACCAAACTCCAGCACTTCAAAGGGGACAGAGCTGAGCTTCAGTCTTAGCTCTGCAAAACAGAGGGATCTGCATGCTCACACCCCTCAGAGAAACCACAAGGACAAATCCCAAGACAGTGAAGAGATTTCTGGGGTCAGGTTGAGACGGCAAGGGATTTCAGAGCAGTGCCAAAATGGGTTACTGTGAAGTGACACAGCAGCTCAATCACCACTTTGCTGGGAACAGAACCCCCACATGGAGCAGAGGTGACAGAGAGACTGAGACCTCTCAGCCTCCCCCTCCAGCACACCCCTGATCTCCAGGACTTGGAAGAGTCGTGTGTTCTCTCCCTCCAGGGAGGAGAAGGAGGAGGAGTGTGTGTGGTGCTCAGGGCACGTGGCACCCAAGTCTTTTGCCCCCCGGCTTCATGCTCCAAGCTGTGGTTAGTCCTGGAGACTGTGACCAGGAGGTGGCAGGCTCAACTCATCCATGGATGGTGGCTCTTCTTCAGGAGGGTCTGGCCTGGGGACAAAATCGCTCGTAATGTGTCTCTAACCCACCAAGAGGAAGCCAGAGCACTGAAGTGCTGGAGGAAGAGGGGAAAAAAGGGACTGTTAGAGCTTCTCTGAAAAGCAATCACGACTTGGGAGAGACGTTTCTGCAACCAAGGCTGATGCCTGTCAGGGACAGAGTCGTGCTCAACACCAGGACTAGCATGGGGAGAACAGCCAGGCTGGTGTTGTCAGAGACTGTTTCTCTCCGCTCTCATTTCAGATAACTAATATGAATCAATGAAGAGGAGGAACATGTCTGCATTTCCAGCTGTCCCTCCCCACCCCCAGCATCCTGGTCCCTGGGAGAGCATTTGAAAAATTGCAATCGCTATAATTAGAAGTAACACTCACTTTCCAAGAGGAAACTGTGCAAAAGGTTGACTTCCTCTTCAATGCCATTTCAACTAACAGATCTGCAGCTCCAGTGGTGAGGGGATTTGCTGAGCAGCAGTCTGGATTGCTAGGAAGAATTAAGAGTTCCCTCCCACTTCCATGGGGATTACTCACTCTAGGTGCAAGACGCTGGGTCCTAAGATGCAGAGGGGACTGTGGCATTTTGTACTCTCCCTCTGCAAAGAGCAAAGGCCAGAGGCATTAACTCATCACTATTATGCATTTGCCCCCACGGGTAATTAACACTGCTGCATACAGCACTGACTTGGGAATGCCAAAGACATTGGGAATGCCAAAGACATTGGGAACTTCATTGCTGGAGCTTTCAACAGAGCTACAAGCCACAAGCAAGCTCCTTGTGATTCCATACAAGGAAATATTCACAACATACAACAAAAATAGCCTCCATCACTACACGTTATAATCACATCAGGGAGCCTCCAATCTCTGCAGTAATAAGTGATGCCCTCCCTCCTCACCCAGAGCACTCTGCAAACACCCATTAACCCTCCCGACACCCAAGGATGGGCTGTGGAGATTACAGCACAGACCTCAGCCGGCACAAAAGCATGGCAGGGAGTCAGCAGCAACGCCTGGACTGTAACAACCATTTTATCTTCTCTGATAACACAAGACAAGTTTACAGTGTGCCTTGTCCTTTCCAAACTTTCTGAGACCTTATAGCCAAAAGAAGCTGCTACATTTTCTTCCCCTTCAGAGTTATTTTTGTGCTGAGCCCAGGAACTCGTGATGGATAAAAGCACCTGCAGAAAGGTCATCAGCCATAACTCAAAATTATGCAGAGGTAAAGAAACTCCCTATTCCCCTTGGCAAGGTGCTCTGGTGGTTCGGTGTCGCACTATTCAAAATGTTCGCCTGGTTTCTAATTTGAACTCATCTTCATTTTTCATCCAGATTTTGGTCCTTACTAAGCCCCATCGAGCTGCTTACTGCTACATTGCTCAAGCACCACAATCAAATCCTTTTGATAAGCTAAAGGCAAAGGGCATTTTCACCTCTCATTGCAGAAAGACACCAGACCAGTTACTGGAAATGCTCCTTCGGCCATGGTAGCTTGAGATGATGGAGCCTTAGGAATTTCTGCATTGAACTTTTTTGCTCAGGCCCTCCAGCCCCTCACTAAATTCACCAAATAAACTCAGGTTCTCTTTCCAACCACCACTGACAACAAGGGGCATTTCAGCAGTCATCCCTGAGATGGTTTTCTTAAGACAGAATTAGGCTCAGTTCTTTTATCTACAAAAATACTGTAAAAATAATTTTCCCAAACTTTTTCAGTTAAGTAACCAGGCCACATTTTTTCCACTCCTTTAAATGCAGCCTCAGAAGTGAGATGTGCCATCCCTGAGACATTCATCGCCTTTGCCCTCCTCTATACTGCCAGAATTAGATGTGTGTGTGTGTGTCAGCCCAAGCCGCTGATCCCTCCTAACTCCCCAGAAAACATCTGCAGGGCTGTGAGCTGCTTCTTTGGAAGCTGTGGCTCCCATACAAGGCAACTGCTCCCCAGCCAACAAAGGACAGCTGGAAAGGCCTGACCAAGTAAGAGATTTACTTGGCTGAGCATCATTTCATTCTCCACAGGGGAGTGTAGGAGGGCAAAATACAATTGGGTCACCTAACAAAGTGAAATCTCATCCTGTGTCACTTGTTTCCAAAGAGTGATTTAGTTTCTGCAAATGTCGTGCTCGTTCCCAAACAAGTAGAGAAGAAACTTTATGTGGTGGTAAGTTAAATGTCTTCCCTCCTCCCATCGACTTCAGAGAGTGCCTTGGATAAGTAAGCTCCTCCATCAAGGTCTGCAGGTACCTTCCCCATGTAGCAAGCCTGAATCTCCAGATCTAGGCAGGTACAGGCTGCTCTGCAGCAGGGCTGAGCATCAGCCTCTGCCCAGAGAAGCTGTGTCTGCCTCATCCTTTGGAGCTTTCAAGGCCAGGTTGGACAGGGCTTGGAGCAACCTAGTCTAGTGGAAGGTGTCCCTGCACATGGCAGGGGGTTGGAATGAGACAAGCTTTAAGGTCCTTTCCGACCCAAACCGGTCTGTGATTCTGTGATTCTGTGATTCTGTGATTCTGTGATTCTGTGATTCTGTGATTCTGTGATTCTGTGATTCTGTGATTCTGTGATCAGCATCAGCCCGTTCCTGTTGCTGGGCTGCAGCTGGCAGGGAGCGTGCAGGACCCTTGGGAAGCTCAGGTCACTCCACACACAGCTGTGCAGACTCGGCCTTGTTGTGTTTGGAAAGACAAAAGTGATGGCACATGTCAGGCAGATTAGAGGGTGACAGATAGATGGACAGGCAGGCAGGCTGCCTTTAAATAGTCTCCATATTTTTCCCGTGACATCTGTCTGCAGGAGTTTAAATTATGATCCTCACTTACAGCTTTGAAAGAATTTAAAATGCTTAAATCCCTGTTAAAAACTAAGCTAACAAAGCTTGGCTGGATGCTACACTTTTAATCCACAATGAAAGCAGTGTGCTGGATTTGAAGGGCTGCAGAGCTCTCATGGAAATACCCTGCAAACACTCAGCCCTTCCTAATGATCAGCCTGCTATAAGAAATGGTTTGGTGTCAGATTCAAATCTGACAGCTATGCTGAAATGACTCCACCATAACTTCCTCTTCCTTCTGACTGAGGGATGAGAATATAAATGTGCAACTTGTCCTGTTTTGGGACACCTCACAAGCAATAACTGTGATGTCAAGGCCCCAGATGCCAGCTGGGATCTGGGAGAAATCATTTAGCTGCCTCTCACCCCCATGAGTGTGGGGAGAGAGCAGCAAGTCCCAGAGCTAAGTGCTTTCAGCAGCACCACCTGCTGCTGCCCCCCCAGAAACCAGCCATAGATCCTATAAGCTCTGCTCCCCCATAACCAGACACGAGGAGCACATGGCAAGTAAGGCAGGTTCCCAAGGTCATCACTTGTCCAAACCTTTGGAGAAGTCCTTTCGTAGCATAAACCACAGATGATGAAGTCCCAGGGAAGACCTCCAGTTCCCCATTAGTCTTTATTTATCATCCTCTTTAAGACAGACTGGTTTACTTCCACCTTCCCATGCTGAGCACAGCCTGCTGTCTGCAGAACTGCTCGCAGGCAAGCCCCAAACTTCCCTGCTTCTGGCCAAAAACTGAAGCATGGCCAGAGCACGAGCAGGCAGGACAGCACAGCAGCTGTGAGACCATCACCCTGCCCACCTCCCACACTCGTGCCCTCCGCTTGCTGCACCACGGCAGAGGAAGCTCCGTTCTGGTTCATCTAAAACTGTGGTGTTCTGATGTGGAATTACAGAGGTGGCTCTATCAAGGAGGGTGAAAAAAAGAGACAGGGGTCCACCCCAGCAGTAGCAATGCCCTGTGTGATGCATGGGGACATCCTCTCTGTGGGGACTTCCCCGATCGCTGCCAGATGCAGTGCCTGTTCCCCATCCAGCCTGCAGCTGGATCTCATCGCCTGGGGAAAAGCTTCTGACTTCCCTGACTATTCTGTTTATTCTGCTAAAGACCATAATCATTCTGGTAATTGTTTGGGTTTGTTTGGGGTGAGGTTTTTTTTAGCAAGCTCCTACTTTTGTGAGTTCATGTGCTACGCTCCCTCTGCTGGCAGGCTCTCTTGGGCTGGGGGAGAGGCTCTGGGGAAGCACTCATGGAATCATAGAATCACAGAATGGTTTGAATTGGAAGGGACCTTAAAGCTCATCTCGTTCCAGTCCCCCCACCTTCCACTAGACCAGGTTTCTCCAAGCCCCATCCAACATGGCCTTGAACACTTCCAGGGGTGGGAAAGGAGAAAAACAAATCCCTGCTCCATTTGCCTGTGAAAAGTCACATCACAAACCCTTCCCAGGCCCTGACTCGCCAAATGTGAGCGAAAAGACCTGAGAATGGCATTCTTGTGCCAGATTTACTCCTCATAGCCTGGTAATGCTGAGTCTTGTCAACAAAGACAAATGTGTGGTTTGCTAAAATTCAGCTGATCTTTATAAGAGAAACTCTTACACTTGGGAGTCACGTCAGCAAAGCGATAGCCTTGTGCTGCTGATAGTTTAGAGCTGTGGTGTTCAAAGACCCTCAGCAGGAGTAATTACATCCATCACAAATCGTGAGCAAAAACATGAAAGCAGATCTTGACAATCTTGATTACAGAAAATCTCCTGGAGGGCAGGAAGTAGTGCCAAAGAAGAAACAAGGGGATGCTTCAGCGAGGCGCCTTCCCAAGCCCCTCATGCTTCAGAGAGTGTTTGTCATACACAGAACTGCTATCAAGAGCCTTGGAGCCGCCTTCCCTTTCTGTAGAGGCAGTGAATGGGATCAAACCCAGGGTCCTGCAGCATTCACAGTGCTACTTTCGTCATCAGAGGAGCAGAGAATCTTTTGATAGATGTTAACCTAAGAGTTTTTCATCAACCCTATTCAGTAGGCAAGTCAAGAAACGGCAAGGGCACTCAAAATCAGCCAAATAAAAGGCAAGACAACCCCCCATACAGATACTTTCTTGCTAAAACTATTAATAAACATTGCACATTGCGTCAATCTCTGAAGGTCAAAGCAATCTTTTTCTCTGGTGGAAGCTCTTAATGGAGATTTTTGAGCTGCATTTTATGCCTAAATGTGCTTCTTTAACGAGTGCAATTTTACATCTGTTCAGGTAAAGCGCCTTGTTGTACATTTGCTTTCTTCCATGGTTTTATTATACCTATTTGGCTGATGATGCCCAGCCAAAAGAAATGAAAGATGCTGGGAAATAAAAATGGAGTTCCTGAAAGTATTTGTCTTCATAACATATTAAAAAAAAAAATATATATATATGAAGCAGCATGCTTCAGTATCTGTTTACCATACACCTTTTCCTCACATGAAAAAGCATTTAAACAACATAAAAAATGTAATGATTCTGCTAGACAAGCCATTTGCCTTCAGCTGTAACATGAAAAGGGAAAACAAGATGCCTGTGAACTGCTCAGCTGACACCGAGGCCCTGAGGGCTCCTTGCACTGCCCTGAAGCAGTGGAGGAGAGTGGGGGAGTGAGGAGGGGAGTGGAGGGATAACCCTGATGGAAAACACCCCTCTGGGGCTGGGGCAGCTCGGGCTCTGCTCCACCCCGTGCCATGATGGGCTGGCCAGGAAGGTGCTGCTGCTGTTATTGTGTCTAGACCTCAAAGGAACCCCCAAACCTGTGCGTGGGGAGGGCAGGGTGTGGGGAGCCCCACGGGACATGTTGTGGTGAGGATTGGTGCTGCCCAGCCTGGTTACACTGTAAATGAGCAACAAGTCCTTGCCCCAAAAAGGAGCTGGGTTTTGTCTCATTTTACATAAATATGTGACCCATCCCTGTTGTTCAAGTGTTCAAAGCCAGGCTGGATGGGGCTTGGAGCAACCTGGTCTAGTGGAAGGTGTCACTGCCCGTGGCAGGGGATTGGAATGAGATGAGCTTTGAGGTCCCTTCTAACCTATACCAGCCTGTGATTCTATGATTCTATGATTGTATGTATCATCTAGACAACTGTGGGCAACAGCCCCTGCAGTTACACAGCAGCAGGGAGAGGTTCCTGTGATGCCTTTTCCCAGGAGACTGAATTGTGGGGTATCAGAGTTCAAAAGGTAATTCCCCAAAGATTTGGAACAAGGCTGTGTTCCTCAATCTGTGATTTCTTCCAGGCCTTCCTTGGAAAAAAAGAAGATAATTTAAAACATCTTTACCTTTATAAATATATTTAAGGTCTATTTCATCAGGGTCCATGGGAAATGTGGTGTTTGAACCCAAACATCTGCTCTTGGAATTGTTCTCAGGCAGAGTTAGCACTGTCTGAGTCAACAGCTGGGCCTGTGAGGGTCCCTGTGGTTGGCTCCATCAGTGTGTTAGTTACAGAGGTTTTCCAGAGAGCTTTCCTGGGTTTTGATTTTTTTTTGAGTCTTATCATGTTTTATTTAGGAGATGTACTTACTATAAAGGATTTGTGAACTAGAAGGGTCTTTTTGCTGCCAAGAGCAACATTGCAAAAATTGGATTTCTGCAGTTCTCATACCTTATTCTCTTTGTGCTATTGGTAATTATGTAACGTTAAAAGAACCTTAAGCAGAAGATGTAGGAAGACACAATCTCTGCTCCTCAAACTCACTGTTCTGAGTTAGGGAAACAACAGTGAGTGACAGGTGGCAAAAGACAGATGGAGGAAGGCTAAAAGAGATCTCCAGTTCTATCAGTTTAATGAGTTCTTTCCTTATCAGCTTCAGCCCTCGTCCAGATCTGCTAAGTGGTTTTTCTTAGAGACTGAATGACTATGAATTAGAATGTGGCAGCTCCTTTTGTTACACAACTGACCAGATTTTCGACAGTTCAGTCTCTAAAGAGCTGAGCTGTTCTCAAAGCCTGGCTGTTAAGGCGAGCATGCAGACGGCAGCTGAGCTCCTCTGAACGCTGATCCTCTTGCACGGCCAGGCTGTGAGGCCTCGGGGCTTCCACACACCCGGGCAGTATCCAGAGCCTCTCAGGCTGCCTGCAAGAAGTTTCCAGCCTGAGACTTTCCTGTGTTCAGCTTGAACACGGGTGGCTGCATCCACACTGAAGCAGCAGCAATCCAGGATGTCCTGGGAAGTATTTTGCACTAGCCTAGGAAACAGTGTTTGGCAGGAAATGCATCTTTCCTTCATTTGCAAAAGTGTTTTCCATCTGGGAGCACAGTGCACTGAAGCAATCCCTGCTCTCTCCTCTTCTGCCCAGGGAATGGATGTAGCTCAGGAAAGGCATCTATGGGGATAGTCTTTGCCCCAGGACTCTTTTATTATAGTGGTGTAGTCCAGGGACCTCACTTGTCTCATTTCTACCATCATGTTGTTTTACCTTGGACCATACAAATATCAGGGGCTGACCTCCACTTGGGAAACTGGATAAATGCTGAACCTCTGTGTGCAACCACTTATAAAGTGTAACCCTCACAAAGGCCACTTCCAGCAGCAAAGAGAAACCTTGAAACTAAAAAGCCGAGCAGCAGGTGGACCTTATTTATTAGGCAAAGGTACTTCTTTCTTCAACATACTTGGAATTCAGTTGTATTTCATAAATTGCAAATTTAAAATGTGACTACATTTATTCCTACTTGTCTTGTCCAGAATATTTTCTCACTGATGAAAAAGCTGTTTCTTGCTTTGCTACAGAAGTCAGGAAGTGAAGCCACATTTGTCCTGGAAGGCAAAGGCACACAGCACATTTCATGTGCTTGAGGGCAAATAGGGCAGGTGCCACTGAAGCAGGGACCCTTTGAGCCACAGAGCTGAGTGGTGGGGCTTTTTCCCCTTCTGATATTCATCCCTCTGATGCTTAGGTGACAGCAGGAAAATATATATCAGTTTTGCAGCAGGAGTTGACAGAATGGATGCATTACTGCATTTGGAGATTTAAAGCACATGAACAGGCAACTGGATCTGCACTGGCTCTGATTAAACTAAATACTGTGGAGTCAGTGTCCTGAATTTCTGTTCACAAGTAACAAACAACGTGGAGGTGGGAGCCTGCATTTTGTAATAGACTTATCAATATAACATTACAATGAACCATTTATGAGCAAGCCTTATGAATAGATGTTTTACTCTAAGTTTGGATTTATTTGAGGGCTCTGATAGAAATTTTAAGATTTTTCAGCTTCATGTAGCTACTGACGTGAACTTAGCTGTTTAAAAACTGTATAGATTAGCTGAAAAGAATCTGAGCTACGTTAACTGTACAGGAAAAGAAGCACAGACAGACTCTATGCAGAAATACACAGGCATCTTCACTGAAAATATGCCAAATATATTTCATTCATGGCTAGGCTTCACGAACGAAGATTTGGGAAGGGCTCTACCCACATTTGTTAATATGTGTGTGTGTATATATATATATACACACAAATGTGTACACAAATTCTGTAGGTGCATCCCTACTCATTATTTGTGCGCACAGTTATTTTGAAGGGTATTCAAATCTGTAGCAAATGACTACCTAGAACTGAAACTGTTTTCATTTGCAGTTACACTGACCCACACACCATCGCAGCAGTCATGCAAGGCTGTCTGCTGAGAAACCACCTCCTGCATCTTCTGTGGAGGCAGAGGTATTGTGCTGCTGCCTTTGAACCTCTACTCCACATCAAGAGTGAAAGGAAAATAACAGGCCGAGGACCTCAATAAACATGGATTATCTTGTTTACTGTAACCACTTAAAAATGGCCAAGGCAGCCCTGACTTCTCCAGGAGTCAAGTACTTTGCCCTGTTTCTATAATAAGGCCTTCTCATGCACTGCCTGCTTCCCACATGATGTGTCCCGAGTTCAACAGGGCTCAGAGAAGGTGGGGCCTTCCCCAGGCAGAGCTCAGGAAGACTTCAAAAGTTTCAGTTCCTGAACAGGTTTTGTAACAACGGCGCCCTGAAGCAAGAGGTGACGAGACAGTCCGGCTGTGCTCAGTCACGAGCCGCAGAGGCTTGACGAGCTCGGGGAGCTCCCTGAGTCTTTCCTCCCGGCATGTGCTGCTCCTCTGGGGCACAGGAGGCAGGAACAGTTCATGGCATACTAATTGGAGAAAATACCGATTCTTCATGTGAATTTGACACGTCTGGCATCCCACTTGCAGCCTCCAATGTCATCCTTAAAACCACTTCCCCCCTCTCGTCAGCACATCCTGTGTGATTTCCTGCACTGTTTTGTAAGACCAGTACAAATGAAAGGATTTCTCCTTTATAGAAGGGCTTTTTCTGTCTTTAGCAGCTTTTCTTTCAAATCTACATACAAAGCCCCTCTTTAAAGCATTTTTCTAACATGTTTTCTTTTTTTCTTTTTTTTCTTTTTCTTTTTTTTTCCCTAGAATTCTGAGTATTTTTCTCTACAGTCAAAATTCTTTCCCTCACTTTTTGTTGTTTTGTTTCATTTTTTTGAAAAAATACAATTATTTTGAACGCAGAAGCCCCCAAATTCACTATTTCTGTCACAAAATATATTTTCTGAGATACAGCCCGGCAACATTTTTATTTCGTGCACAGGAACTAATTGTTCACTGAAATCACTCACTGATCTTAATAACCACAAATGTCTTGAGCTTTATTTCAAAAAGAAACGAATTTCCTTTCCATCTTCATCCAAAATCCACCGTGCAGAGCTAATGTGTTCAGAGTAATTTGCATGCACCATGCACCACTCCCACTGTTGTTGGTATATCACTGCCTCCCACGGGCATGTAAACTGCTGACTCAGTGCTTAAGACCGAACTCTAATACTGCTTTGATGGATCCTAAGTTAAGTTGGCATCTTCTGGCAGCTCCTGAAACTGAGTTTTGGCAGACATTTAACCTCCTAAACACTCAGTCAGATTCTTTTAGTCTCAAACTGCCACCTGCCTTCCGTTGTTGTGTTATAAACCCTCCAAACTTTCTTCTTTTCTACTAATGTGTAAATTAAATCAATTTGCCTTCCTGCTAGTCACGTTCATCTGGGTACAGATCACTCTAAGGAGAACCCAGCTGAGGCAAAGGCAGACTGCTTACACTCCACAATATCCCTCT